AACAGGATACAAGGAAAAGATTAGTCCGAAGGACTATTTGTCCACAGCTACCAAGGCCTCCACCGGACTGAGTCCAGTACAGCTAGATGGTGCCCAGCTACAACCACTGACTGCTCTGTCCAGGATCATAATAGAGGGCTCTGGACAGAGCTGGAGAAGGATGTAGAACATAATTCTAACTCTCAAAAAAGAAGACCAGATTTACTGGCCTAAAGGGGACTGGAGAAACCCCAAGAGTATGGCCCCCAGACACCCTTTTAGCTCAGTGGTGAAGTTATCTCCGAGGTACACTGTTCAGCCTGGGAGTGGACCGCCCCGTAAAACCAAATGAGACTAACGAGGTACAGCAGTCCAGGGACAAGGGCCAGAAAGCAGAAGGGGACAAGGAAGCTGGTGATAGGGAACCCAAGGTTGAGTAAGGATATTGTTGATGTGTTGTGAGATTGTGAAACATTGTCATAGGGCAACATTTGTAGTAACTGTTAAATGAGAAACTATTTTGTACTGTAAGCCTTCATCTGAAGTGAGAATAACAGCACAATTGGAAGAGCATAGTCAATGTCACTGAACTGTGCATGTAGAAATTTTTGAAATGGTGTATCTTTGGCTATATGTATTTTCACCAAAAAAAAGGTTGAGAAGTAAGAGGGTTGACATGTTGTGGGGTTGTTAACCAATGTCATAAAACAATATGTGTACGACTGTTTCATTAGAACCTATTTGTTCTGTAAGCCTTCACCTAAAGTACAATAAAAGATAAAAAAAATAAAAAAGAGCATGCATCTTCTAATTTGACTTCCATTTTGCAAGAAAACAGAGAGCTAATAGATCTGAGACTATCGAACCAAAAATTAGACATTATCAGTCCTGTAAACTAGTTCAAGTTTGCCAACACATTTTTTTTAATTGTCATAAAACATATATAACAAAAAAATTTCCATTTTAAACATTTTTAAGTGTACGATTCAATGACATTAATTACATTCATTATGTTGTGCAAACGTCACCACTATCCATTTCCAAAAGCTGTTCATCACCCCAAACAGAAATTAGTATCCCTTTAGCAGTAACTCCCCACCACCCCCATCCTCCATAATTAATAATAAACTTTTGTCTCTATGTATTTGCTTACTCTAAATATTGCATGTAAGTGAGATCATACAATGTTTGTCCTTTTGTATCTGACTTATTTCAATCGTTATAATGCTTTCAAGGTTCAACAATGTCATAGCACATATCAGAACTTAATTTCTGCTTATGGCTGAATAATATTCCATTAGATGTATACACCAGGGTCCCGATGGCACGGTAGTTAAGAGCTCGGCTGCTAACTAAAAGGTCGGCAGTTCGAATCCACCAGCTGCTTCTTGGAAACCCTATGGAGCGGTTCTACTCTGTCCCATAGGGTTGCTACAAGTTGGAATCAAGTCATCAGCAACGGGTTTGATTTTTTGGTTTTTATATGTATATACCACATTTGGAGCCCTGGTGGTGCAGTGGTTAAGAGCTTGGCTGCTATCCAAAAGGTGGGCAATTCAAATCCACAGGCCGCTCTTTGGACACCCTATGGGGAAGTTCTACTCTGTCCTATAGGGTCGCTATGAGTCAGAATCAGCTTGACGACAACAGGTTTGGTTTGGTTTGGTTTATACCACATTTTGCTTATCCATTCATCTGTTGATGGACACTTAAGTCATTTCTACCTTTTAGCTATTGTGAATAATGTTGCTATAGGTACTAGTTTCAAAACCTGTTTTCAAGACTTCTGGGTATATACCTTGCCAGCATATTTTAGAAAATTTTTGAAAAAATACATTTCTCATGTTCATTACATAAAATTTCAGAAACTAGAAAAATCTTTAAAAGCAAATTCAAAGCTCAAAAGGCCATAACCATGAGCCATGAAGTTTAAGGCCAGCAACTGTGTTCCATAATTTCTCCAAATACCACCAGAAAAGTTATCTTTTGCTTATACATACACACATACAAATGATAACACCCCTAGATTAGAAAGCACTCCCAACATGATAGAAAAATGACTCTATTCTTTGTGTTCAAGCTCAGGTCAGTATGTTAATCTTGGTCTACAGAAGTACAGACATCTCTCACTCACCAGGGTAAGGTTAAAAGTTACTGCAGTAACAGTTCAGACAATTAACTAAAGGGCTACCTACTTTGGGCCTAAGTTCTGAGCAAACTGGGAACACCCTTGCTTTAAAAAAAATCAACTAAAGTAACTCCAAATCTTACGAATAGACTATATCTCACTTTTAAAATTAATCTAGTTGTTTATAACTCAGAATGTAGTTCCCATGGAAACAGTATTATAAATACTGGTTAGGTTTTCTTGCTAGCCCATAAAATTCAAGTTTAATCATGATGTAACGGCCTATTACTAATAGCTGTAGATGAGGTCTGGAAAAGATGGCTAGCAAAGAAGAGGAGAAACAGTTTCCTCCCTTATAATTACTCACAAGGCTGGCCCAAGAAATATATATATATAACAAACTGATCTCTAGTTCTCCTGTCTTCCTCAGAATAGTCATAAAGGCAATACCATATCCTGGCCTGTCCTCTCTATTTTACATCTTTACCTACACTAAGGTTCCAGGACCTGAAATGAGAGTTTAGGATCCAGAATGAACTAGTGCCTTCCACCCAAATAATCTCCCAACCATTAAGAGACCAAAGTTCAACGAGAAGTCCCTTCTCTAAGATACTACCTCTTGGGGCACACTATAATTCAGATGGCCAGCCCCTGTGGTATGCTAAGTATTATTTCCCAGGAGGGCTCAACCAGACCTTAAGAAGTTGAAACCTCATCAGTGGAGCTTCTAGCTATCGAATACGCTGTGCAAGAATGCCTCTATTAGCATCATCTATACTGAAAACAACAGCTGCTCTACTTCTGGAATCTTAGTCTTCTGGAACCAGAAGCACCCCTTTGCACCAAGGTGAGCTGATAATAAGGATTAAGAATCACAGATGTGGAAAAACTGGCACCTGGCAGCAAAATGACCCAGATGCCAGTTCAAAGTACCTGTTCTCTAAGAGGGAATTCCAGTACATGGGAAAAGCCTTTGGCCTCAGCAAGACCCTTAAGTGAACAGCCCCTAAATTATCTAGCTATCTATATCCTCCCCTTCTAGGAAATAGGCTCATTAACGAAAACTGAACAGAGGAGGTTCAAAAGGAGAAAAAAAGAAGAGACAGCACTGGAATTGTTAAGCACAACTCTGTTAGCAACTACTTCTGTGATATTTGACTAGTCATTTAACTTATCTGGGCCTCAGCCTCCTTATCTGTGTAACAAAAATCTATATAAGAACCCTCCCCCCACCAAAATAAATAAATAAATGTGTGCTGCAAGAAGGAGGAATTTAAATGAACAAATACAGCTATTTAAAAAATTACATTATAAGAACTATATATATGGGAAAAAAGTGACAACAGCAATTCGAAAGATTAGATAGGACCCTTAGCGGGCAGTGGGGCTATGTTAATGGGGGAGGAATAACTCAGGAAAGGAGAGTGAGAATGGTTGCACAACTCCAAGAATGTAACCAATGTCACTGAATTGTACATTTGGAAACGGCTGAATTGATGTATATTTTTCTGTGTATATTCTCAACAACAAAATTTTTTCTTCAAAAGTATTTTCTTTCTTCTCATCTGTTAATCCTGCTGTTAAATTTCAAAACACACCCCAATATAAAATCTATAACCATGAAAATCCTAGTACCTGTGCTCGCTTCAGCAGCCCATATACTAAAATTGGAAGAATACACAGAACATTAGCACGGCCCCTACACAAGGATGACACACCACAAATTCGTAAAGTGTTCCATATTTTCAGGAATTTGCTTCTTAGTTCAATCAAACACAGGAGACCAAACGGGTAGCTCCTGTCCAAAAAGAGGATGAGAAGGCAGGAAAGGACAGGAACAGATGAATGGACATAGGGAACCCGGGGTGGAAAGGAGAAGCGTGCTATCACATTGTGGGGACTGCAACCAATGTCACAAAACAATTTGTGTATAAATTTCTGAATGAGAAACTAATTTCAGTTGTAAACTTACACCTAAAGCACAATTAAAAAAAAAAAAAACGATCCTAGTACTTATAAACCAGGAAATATAATAATAAATCCACGTTTTTTATTAATTCTTTAGATCACACAATAACAGATTCTATTATTCTTCAGATCACTGAAAATTCCTAACATTGAGCAACCAAAGGCAACCTGCCAGCAGCTTGCTCCTTTTTTTTTTTGCACCTAAATTATATGAAAATCAGAAGATGGTTGCCATTCTCTAAATACAAAAGCTACTGAATGGCATGTTAAATCTAATCTAAATGACCTCATATTAGAGTAAAACTGAAGATACCTGCTGCAAACACCAAACTCTGTGGATTAATTAGCTATTTATATCTTAGAAAAAAGGTAACAAAGCAAATACAGAAGCAAAATTATGAAGCAAAACACATCATATGGCATAGGGGACAATGCTCCAGTATAGCATCATGCCATGGGTATTTAGCTAAGAGACAGCATGACTAAAAGAGTAGACAATAAACAATTTTTTCAGGAGTCTGCAAAGATGCTACTCTCAAAATTCTATCAGCCTCTATTATTCTGGTTTCTTAGTATTTTAAACATTATGCCAAGGAAAAGCCTATTTATTATGAATCTAAATAGAAACTCTAATATGCTTACTTTCGAAGACAAATTTCCAATAAAGGACATTTCCAGCTCCTTTATTTTTTTTTTTTTCTTTCCATACAGACTATCCAGAACCACCAGGTGATGATTTCTTTTTTTTAAAAAAAAATTGTGCTTTAAGTGCAAGTTTACAGTGCAAGTCAGTTTCTCATACAAAAATTTATACACACATAAACTTCATCTAAACAATTAAAAAAAAAAATTTACACACACATTGCTATGTGACCCTAGCTGCTCTCCCTATAATGTGACAGCACACTCCTCCTTTCCATCTCACATTTCCCATGTCCATTCAACCAGCTCCTGACCCTCTCTGCCTTCTCATCTCACCTCCAGACAGAAGCTGCCCATTCAGTCTCATGTATCTACCTGAGCCAAGAGGCACTCTCTTCACGAGTATCCCATAGTCCAGTCTAATCTTTGTCTGAGAGCTGGCTTCAGGAACGGTTTTAGTTCTGGGCTAACAGAGCATCCAGGGGCCATGTCTTCCGGGCTGCCTCCAAGTCTCAGTCAGACCACTAATTCTGGTCTTTTTACTAGAATTTGAGTTCTGCTCCCCACTTTTCTCCTGCTCTGTCAGGGATTTTGTGTTGTGTTCCCTGTCAGGGTGGTCATTGGTGATAGCCGGGCACTATCTAGTTCTTCTGGTCTCCAGCTAATGGAGTCTCTGGTTTATGTGGCCCCTTCTGGTGATGACTTTCTTGAAGTGTCAACTTGACTAGGTTACAGTGTCCAGTTATTCAATCAAACACAAATCTAGGTGTCCCTGTGGAGGTATTTTGTAAATATACTTAAAGCCCCTAATCAGTTTAAGTAAGGGAGATTATTTTAGATAATCTGAATGGGCCCAACTGAATCCTTTAGAAAGCCTTAAAAGCAGGACTGAGGTTTTTCCAAGGGAGAGTAGAAATTCTGCCTGTGGACCACAGCCTTGGCCTGTGCCTATGGAGCTCGATCCTACTCATGATCCTCCCTTCTTTCCCTCTTTTTTTTTATTGTACTTCAGGTGAAGGCTTACAGAACAAATAGTTTCTCATGAAACAGTAGTACACATATTGTTTTATGACATTGGTTAACAACCCCACAACATGTCAATCCTCTCCCTTCTCGACCTTTTTTTTTTCCTTTTCTTTTCCTTTTTATTCTACTTCAGGTGAAGGCTTACAGAACAAATAGTTTCTTATGAAACAGTAGTACACATATTGTTTTATGCATTGGTTAACAACCCCACAACATGTCAACCCTCTAACTTCTCAACCTTTTTTTTTGGTGAAAATACACATAGCCAAAGATACACCATTTCAAAAATTTCTACATGCACAGTTCAGTGACATTGACTACGCTCTTCCAATTGTGCTGCTGTTCTCACTAAAGATGAAGGCTTCCAGTGATCTTCCCTTCTTGACAGCCACCTGCCCTGTGAATTTTAGACTTGCTTAGCCAGCCTCCATGATCGTGTAAGCCAATTCCTTGTAATAAGTCTCTTTATATATGGTTACCTCCTACTGGTCCTGCTTCTCTGGCTGAACTCAAATTGATAGACATCACAGTATAGAATATGAATTTAGAAGTAGTAGTTCTTGGATTTAATTGGCAAAAATACTTTATATTTGTAGATGTATGGATTGACTTACATTATCTTCTTTTAAAAATTGCAGCAGGTCAAGACAGTGGTACAACACTAAATTATCTTCTAATAGGAACTATAGGTCACCATGAGTCGGAGTCGACTCAACAGCAACTAGGTGGGTTTTGTTTTTTATTATTCTGTAAAAGCCAGTATAGGAAGAGACTACTCATTTTTCTCTAGGTCATAAGAATAAGTTGGGAAGTTCTTTACAATATAATCTAAGCCCTTTAATATTAGGGATCTTTACATAAGAAGTATTATGAAGTGCTAAGAATACTAAGAATTTCCTTTAGTTCAATGATTATAACATTCTCCTTTTATTTTTGCACTTTGAAAGTTGTTGAACCTTAGAAATTAATTATGCATGCTGAATTACATGTGGCACTACAGTTGCATTATTTAAGGGGCTACTTAAAGAATATTCCAGCATACAAACAATCAGATAAAAGATGGGCTAAAAGCAAAGACTAACACAATTATAATCAGTAATATCACAACCTTACCAGAGAGAACACAGACTGGTTTTATCCATAAGCAGTGTACCTACAACGTGCAGTTCAAGGTTACAAATAACTGGCTGTTCTTTAATTCTTATCAAGCAAAATTCCAAGCAAGCCCCAGGAGCAGCAACAGCAGCAGTAGCAATTCACTCCAGCATAAAACTGTAGCCTTACGTAACACTCACTTTCCCAGGAAGTCCCAAATAAACCCCCCAGACGGTGCAGGGACAGAAACCTGGCGTGGAGGGTACAATTTGCGGGAGACTGGCTTTCTGAGAAACAGCATGGCCAGGGTAAATGGGACACACACAGATAAACACACAGAGAAAGACCAGAGCGCCAATGGAACAGGACCATGATAAAACAAATGAAAACAAAGGTGAAGAAACTCAAATGATAAATTACAGGGAGACAGACACCCACACGAAGGAAACAGAGGAATGGCAACACAAGAAGCAAACGGTTAGTAAGAAACACAACAGCCACACACATGCACCTCAATACTAAATCTGGGAACAAAATGTGTAATATAATCCCAGATGTTCTTTGGCATATAAAGAACTGGTTATATCCTAGAATTAGCAGTACTCAGCTTATAAAAATGGCATTCAAAGGCATAAGGGAAATTAAAACTTAGTTTCTAAGCTTAGAAAGTCATAACACTGACTATGGCCACTTTTATTTAAGACACGGGGTCAAGATGGGCCAAAAAGATAAATCCCACATGGACAGCGAAGCTTCAAATAATAGTTGCCAGTAAATCCTAAAAGAAAAAGACCATAACTAACATTGCTAGAACAGAAAGAAAATTGAGCTAAGAATTATAAAACCAATTCTACTAACTGGTCAATCACTGTTTGACTTCAGGAATAACTTCTCTGACTCTTGGTTTCCTCTTTCATGAAATGCATGGTAAATCTCTAAGGTCTCTTTCACAAGTAAAATTCTATGATTCTATTATTTATTCATATCTTAAACTATGTTACAGAACAACAAATTACAAAGCTGGTAGCAAAAACTGAGCTTGGAAAACTGTTTTTTGCTGCTGTTGTGATTGTTTTTAGTAACCAAAAAACTTTGGGTCAAACCCTAAAACAAAACTACAGCCTTACATGACCAGAGGGATAACTATGCAGTGCTTTCTCAACCTTACAAGTTATAGTCTGTGGAAAGAATAGATCATTTAAAATTATTTCTCAAAACATGAGAAATACAGTAGCTTAAAAAGCTGCTATTTGGTGTGCTTAGCATATCAAATATAGATTTAGTCCTATTTCCTATTCTCCTTCAAATCATATCCATCTCACGAAATTAGTATTGGGGCCAAAAATTAATCAAAAACGTTTTCAAGTAAGCTGCCTGGAAAAGCAGACAATTACAAATGCAGATTTCCCATATAAGAAATCAAACCCAAAAATGAACTTTCTAAAGAAATTTCCTCTCTGAAGTGTACTCAGAAGTACCCCATTTTAAAATCTCAGGCCCATACAAAAGAGAGGTATGTATTCATACAAGCATGTTTGCATGTGTGTGTTTGGGGGGGGGGGGTACAGTACAAAGATGGACGAAGGCATACAAAAATGCACATAATCTAATTTTAGGACTCTGGTAATTTGTTAATTCTAATTTAAAGGTACAGTTCCATGTATCTTATCCAGAACTGGGAAAAATAAACAGAGTTAATATCAAAATAAAAGGAAATAAGTGAGAAAGTAATCAACCCATGCTATTCAGTGAAGGAGAATTATGAGGGTTAGAGTTTGTTGATTTCTTGAAAAGCAAAATTCTATGGGTATGTAACAGAAGAAAATAATAACTTCTATTGGAAAGTACTGAGGTCTACCAATAACTCCCCAAATTTATAACTCAGTGAACAGTTTATGGAAGAAGGAGTCTAACATTTCTTCAACCTTCAAGAGCATGAATATAAATCATTCTTAAGGATCAAGTTGCTCCCAGCAACCATACAGAATAGTGACTTCATTCTGTCATAGTCAGTCC